TTACTTGTCCCAGCTTCTGCCAACCTAGCAGTTCGAAAGCACACAAAAAATGCAAGTAGAAAAATAGGGACCACCTTTGGTGGGAAGGTAACAGCGTTCCATGAGCCTTTGGTGTTTAGTCATGCCGGCCACATGACCACAGAGACGTCTTCGGACAGTGCTGGCTCTTCAGCTTTGAAATGGAGATGAACACCGCCCCCTAGAGTCGGGAACGACTAGCACATATGTGCAAGGGGAACCTTTACCTTTATATTTAAGGAAGGTACAGGCAGACCTCCACTTACAACAGTTCATTAAATGACCATTCGAAGTCACTACGGCATTGGAAAAAAGGGACTTACAATTGTTTTTCATGTGTGTGACCATTGTAGCATCCCCATGGTCACGTGAGCAAAATTCAGAATGCTTGGCAACTGGCATGTATTTATGACGGTTGCGGTGTCTTGGGGGTCACGTGATCCCCCCTTTTGCAACCTTCCGATGATCAAAGTCAATGGAGAAGCCAGATTCACTTAACCACCGGGTTGCTAACATAAAAACTTCAGTGATACACTTAACAACGGTGGCAAGACAGGGCCAACGTCACTTGGCAACTGTCTCACTTAGCACTGGAAACTTTGGCTCAAATATAGTCCTAAGTCAAGGGCTACCTGAATAGTTTTGAAAGTGATGGTCTGGTGAATTTGTACTTTATTGTGCTGGACACATTTGGATTCGATAGGATGTTCTGGATAAGATTAGAGCCTTGGTAGTACAGTGGTTTAAAGCACCCTGTTATTAACACAGCTGCCTGCAATTTCTGCAGGTTCGAATCTTACCAGGCTCAAGGTTGATTCAGCCTTCCATCCTTTCTAAGGTAGGTAAATTGAGGACCCAGCTTGTGGGGGCAATAAGCTGACTTTGTATAAATATACAAAAGTATGAAGGCTATTGCTTAACGCATTGTAAGCCGCCCTGAGTCTCTGGAGAAGGGCGGCATATAAATCAATTTTTTAAAAAAAAGAAGATAGAAATAGCACTTCCTGGTGGGACAAATGCCAAGTTTTTAATCTCTGTTGAAATAAGAAGGCTTAGTAAAGTAATCCACCTCCAAGTAAAGCTGCCTTTTGCAATTGACTGACGGAGATTTTGCCAATGCTGATGGCGTTCAAGTGGTATAGTGGTATTATTATTTTGAAATTATTATTGCCATCCTCACCATAGGGCTTCCGATAGACCTCTCAACCATTCTCGATAGCATCGGTTGTGGCCTTATCTTTTTTGGGTTGTCTCATTGAATTGAGAAAGAGAGGTGTTCCTTTTCTCTTAACGTCTTCATGAAACCACTGGAGGACATGCTTTCTGGAGACCCAGAGTCATTTCTTAAGCTTTGAATGCTGCGGAAGACCAAATGCATGCAATTAATCTACATTAATTAATGCAGAATTAGACCAATGATCAGGACAGCTTAGAGGTCCGAGATTTCCTCTTGAAAAATCAGTTCTTTTTTTTGGAGGTGGGCGTGAACTTTACGGTGCCATCAAAAAATGTAAGAACCTTTGCCCATTAAATTAAATGCATCTCTATGTATGCCCATGTTTGCCTTTCAAAATATCATTTTTAATTGTCTCTTTTTTTTTGCTATGATTCCAGTGCCTTTTTTTTAAAGAAAACAAACACTTCCTGATAATTTTATTATAATTTTGAATGCTTCAGCATTGAACATCATTGTGAGTTTCAGAAGGCAGTAACAAAACAAATATAAAATGGGCCTGCCAATTTTTTATTTATTTTTTGCCATTTGGACCTCTCCTTCTCCTTTTCTATTTCCTGTATCAAGCCAGTTTCTAATTCTCAAATGACACATTCTAACTCTGTTGCAGCAAACATTTATATTTTTAATGACTGTTCATGAGTTCATGTACATTTTCTGAGATTATGTACTTCGCATGACTAAGCAGCCAGAGTTATTGTGTGCTTCTCTCATTTGTCTGTTGCTAGATCTGTTTAATTTCTGCAGGAAATAAAAGTCCATTCGCAATGCACACAGCGTAAAACTGTTTTATTTTAACATTTTAATTAGTCTGTGCCAAAGGAACCAAATCATTTCAGCAGTTTGTATTCAAAACCATTAGGAAAAATTATGTTCCTTAAAAACAACACGTAGAAACAGACTGACACTTTTGAGGAAAATAGCTGGATTTTTTTTTAAATGTGGGTTTTTTTTAAAGTACATTTTATGGTTTTTCCCAATTTGCAATCACAATTGCAATTTAGAAACCCAAAATTGTGATTGATTGATTGATTGATTGATTGATTGATTTATTTATTTATTTATTTATTTATTTATTTATTTATTCGATTTATATGCCGCCCTTCTCCGGAGACTCAGGGCGGCTTACAATACGTTAAGCAACAGCTTTCATACTTTTGTATATACCTGCTTAGTGGGGCTTTTGGCCCCTCCTAAGCGGTGTTCTTTTTTTATACAAAGTCATTTTATTGCCCCCACAATCCGGGTCCTCATTTTATCTACCTTGGAAGGATGGAAGGCTGAGTCAACCTTGAGCCTGGTGAGATTCGAACTCGCAGTAATTGCAGGCAGTTGGCAGCTAAGTGCTACTTTAACTGCACTTTAGTCCGTTGCGCCACCAAGGCTCTTCCTAACATACAAAAGAATGGTTGAGTCTTATCTAGTTGATATTCTACAGTTATCAGACTGGTAAGAATTCAGCTTTAATTACAAACTTAGGAAAATATACTAATATAGCTAGAACAAGTAAGTAAAATACTAAATTAGGGTAACAGAATAACAGAACAGATAACAGGAACAGTAATAATAACAGGAACAAAATAACAGTTGGAAGGGACCTTGAAGGTCTTCTAGTCCAACCTCATGCTCAAGCAGGTGATCCTATACCGTTCTGGACAAATGGCTGTCCAATTTCTTCTTAAAAGCCTCCACTGAGGGAGTACTCAAAACTTCTGAAGGCCAGCTGCTGAATTGTTCTAATTGTCAAGAAATTGGTTCCATTACCCTGTTTCCCCCAAAATGAGACATCCCCAGATAATAAGCCCAATCGGGCTTTTGAGCACATGGCAATAAGGCCAAGCGCTTATTTCAGGGTTCAAAAAAATATAAGTCAGGGTCTTATTTTCGAGGAAACACGGTACTTCTCGTCCTGCTTTCAGATGCTTTGGAAAACAGCTTGACCCCCTCCTCTCTGTGGCAGCCCCTCAAATATTGGAACACTGCTATCATGTCTCCCCTGGTCTTTCTCTTCACTAGACTAGCCACGCCCAGTTCCTGTAACCGTTCTTCGTATGTTTTAGTCTCCAGTCCCCTAATCATCCTGGTTGCTCTTCTCTGCACTTTTTCCAGAGTCTCAACATCTTTTTTATAGTAGTGACCAAGAAAAACCAACACTTTTTTTTTCAGTGTACAAGTTTATAAGACATTGATCTGCCATTCTGGTTTTCTTAGTTATCAACCAGCTGAATATGAGCTAATACAGATAATATTTCAGCTGATGATAAATAACAATTGATATTCAGCTGTATAGCCTTTTTCTGGAATATAACATTATCCTTCATTGATTGGTCTGTGGCCAAAATTCTATCTTGTAGTAGTAAATTTCATTTGGGATGAATGAGGATGAGTTTCTTGGTGCTTTCTCGTCTTCTCAGTGGGGTTATGCCTTCCTTCCTTCCTTCCTTCTTCCTCCCTCCCTCCCTCCCTCCCTCCCTCTCTTTTTCTAAGGAGAGGGATCTCATATTGTTATCTCTCTCCAACTTTTTGAATGTGAAAGCTAAAACCACCACAGAGCCATCCCTATGGAGTCATTTAATCTCTGGATGTGAAAGGGTTTGTTAACAATCATCCATGCTTAGAATACAGTTGACCAAAGGAATTAGTTTAACCTTTGCAAAACTGGATCTGTTAAGGCTAAATATAACCCCACTCCACCTCAGTTGGCACACTTAAGGCACAGTTAAGGGTGTTGGGAGAGAAATCTGCACATATATACCTCTATTAAACTAAAAGGTATTCTTAGTAGATATTTGAAAAAAAAAATGAACTCATTTTTTTCAGTATCAAAGAAATCATTGTGGAGAGCTACCCATTTGATGTGGAGAGCTTTAAATCTGAAGAGACAGGAGCTTTCTCTGATTATCTAGAAGTCTAAGTCCCTACTCATCCTCTTTGCAAACATGGGAGTAGGAATAGGAGTAGGAGTAGGAGGAGAAGAAGGAGAAGGAGAAGGAGAAGAATCAATAATTAATTACATTGCTATAGTAATATAATTTACCAATTCAGGCTAGTTATGTTTTAAGCTGGCAAATATTTCTTCCTTATCTACGTATTACTCCTTAGAAAAACTTAAAACAAGAATAACTTACTAACACCAAACCAATTTGCATAAAATTGTACTGAGTGAAAATGATGATAGATAGATAGATAGATAGATAGATAGATAGATAGATAGATAGATAGATAGATACTGTGTATATGTGCATAAAACTGTCAAATGGACAATATATATATTGATATACATAAAACTCATTGGGTGCATCCTGAGGGAATCAGGCAACGCACAAACCAGAACCTTACAGTGAAAGAAGCTCCTTTAAACTCCTATTTTTAACTCGCCCTTAAAATAAGCTGCTCTTTTATCTTAGAAAAGTGGCTTTGAGCCTGAACAAGGGAAACCGAGGCGCTTCGGAAAGGTCTGTTCACCTCCCCGGGGCTCTATATTAGACTTCTGAGTCACAGAGGTTTTGCATAGCTGGTGTTGGGTTACCAGCCATGTATGGCCTCTTCGTCAGGGATATCAGTATCTGTATTATAAGTGCTATCTATTCTTAGATGACACTTCGGCTGGACTGACCAGGCAAGAGACAAAAAGGAGTATTATTTTGTGCTTTAATCGGATAGAAGTGGGTGGGGAAAAGAGCGCTCCTTTTTTTTTAAAAAAAAAAACAAGACATACCCACCTGTATCCCACCTCTCTGTTTCGCAGAGCCCCGGGGGTTTTCCTGGCGTAAAGGAGAGATAAAATGTCCTTCAGTGTGACTCTCAATGGATCTGGACCATGGGGCTTCCGTCTGCAAGGAGGGAAGGACTTCAACATGCCTTTGACCATCTCCAGGGTAAGGACAAGATACTCAAAAAGTTTTTTTTTTCCTTGAGATTTGGGGGTTTGGACTTTTGTGGGTTTGGACTGGAGGGAACTGGCCAGGGCAGGAGGGGTGATGAGATTCCCGGACATGTATTTTTTATTTTTTTTAAAAAAATGGCAGAGTCTTGCAGAGTGAAAAGTACTATAATGACAAGGAAGGGGACTTACATGCTGCTCTTCTGCCTTGTCTAATTCATAGGCAACAAGAATAGCTCGCGTATATAAAGTTGTGACAGCGGGAGTCATTTTTGTGGCAGCTGGTTGAAAAGCTTCCTCTGGGCTTATTCTCCCAACAATTCTCCCATCTATTAAGTGGATGAAAGTGACTCAAATCCATATGAGTTTTTGGTGGTCTCTTCTTCTCCTTCTTTTTCTCCTTCTTTTTCTCCTTCTCCCCCTCTCTCTCCCTCTCCCCGTCCTCCTTCTTCCTCTCCATCTTCAAACTTAATTTTCTTTTAGTGCTGCCTTATCTAGAATTAAAAAATGAAAGGAAATGGTGGCGAGGGGCAGGATGGTCATGATCATTCATGTTTTTTATTATTATTTATTTATAAATCATATTTATACAGCCACTCACCATCAAGTGAGTCTGTACAGCGTGTTTGCCCATATTTATTAATTAATTAATTTATTAATTAATAAATTTAATTAATAATTAATAAATATTTGATCAATAGGCTCTCAACATCCCCTCTGGCAAATGGGCTGGATTTTGGAAAATGTTTGTATTAAGCCTCAAATAATATGCGGTGTAATAATTAATGCATGCGTTTAGCATCGATTCCTTTATTGCTTTTCCATTTTGCCATCGTCTGTAGTTCATTTCTTCCTGGAATTTCTGAAAGGAACATGTTGCAAGACCCTGAATAAGGGTGTTGTAAATATCAACCTCAAAACTTTATCCCCGCAACTCACAGGTTTATTTTCTCCTTTTCTGGTGTTGGGATTGGGTCTTGGGATACTGTTGCTATATCAGTGAGAAGTGAAAATAGATAACAGAGTGCAGGAGAATCAGGATAAGAAGAGACATGGACTCTTTATCTGGAATCAAGGGGTTAGAGTGAGTTGTAAGTCTATGGAGATTCTCAAGTCATCCAGGTCACAGTTGTTCCACAAAGGTGCTTTTTCAAAAAGCAACTGGACTTTGTTTTTCCTTGAAGACATTTCACTTCTCATCCAAGAAGCGTCTTCAGTTCTGCTGAAATGAAGAAGTGGAGAACTGAAGAAACTCCTTGGATGAGAAGCAAGACGTCTTTAAGGAGAAACAAAGTCGAGTTGCCTTTTGAAAAAAAAAAAAACCACCTTCGGGAGTAACAAGCTGAGTTTCTAGACAAAGATGTGCGTGTGATGGGCAGTGTGCTTCAAACTTATATCTGGTCTTCCTTCTCTATCCTGTTCTGAAGCCCTAGAACAGATGCTGAGCTTTCTTTCTCCTGCATGTTAGGGATCCAGAATAAAATCTAACCTTGCACAGGAACATTTTGGGGGGTCCTCCTCTTCCCCCAACTTTGGCATCTGGGTATGTCCAGCTGCATTCAGTCTCAGTCTGTCAGCAACTCTTTTCTCAGTCCTTGGAGAAAGTTTGAATCACCAATAAAGGAGAATATTTGTAGCTCAGGGTTGAAATGAGGGATCCCTGGAGCTCTCTGAGCTTGGTTCTTTTCTCGCAGGCGTTTCATTACTTAGCACCAGTGGTGGGATTCAGCCAGTTCTCACCACTTCGGGAGAACTGGTTGTTAACTTTCTGAGCAGTTTGGCAAATTGGTTGTTGGAAGAAATCATTAGGGCAGAGAACCGGTTGTTAAATTACTTGAATCCCACCACTGCTTAGCACTGACATGTTACCTAGTTTGGGTATTGAAATGTCTTGCAAGAAAGCAACAGAAGTTCAGAGGATTCCAAGGATACCTCAGTTTTAAATTCAGCTTTTGAGAATGAACCAGGAAAGGACTATCTGGGCAATCAGACAGTATATATATCTTTGCCTATTGTTGGGTCTCAACCTCTTTATCCAACTTCCAGTTCCAACTTCTTGAGTGCCTGCAGGCTATGTTGAAAAATCTCAAGATGACAACCATGATGGTCCCATCAATGCTGTGCTTATTTTTAATGTCTCTTTTGCACAACACAAATAAAAAGCTGGTAGCACTTTGATTACCTCATCAATAGCTACCATTTTGATGTTTTTTCACCGTATTCTGTGGATACAACCTCCCAACTCCTCTCTGTGTTTCCCTTTTCTTCATTTTTTCCTCCCCTCCAGAGTGCAATTTTCTCTGCCGTGGAGTTTTTATACAAGGCCATTTTTCTCTACTTTTCCAATTTTTAAAAAAATCTGTTCTCAATCTCATTACATTTTAAGGTTGCCTTGCCTGCTGATCTTTCTGTTGTGTGCATGGCGAGCTTGAGTTTTGTAAGGATGGGGAAAATGAAGGTTAAAAGAGAAAGGGCAATATAATTTGAGTTACTGCAGCTGTGTGGAACTTTAATGTCTTTTCCAAAAGGGTGAATTGGGGGAAAAAACCAGATTGTTCTTAAAGAAGTCACAAAAGATGTCCAATCATTCTTCATGCAAAAGATGGAGTCAAACAGGCCAAAGCCATCTAATGTCCATCCTAGGAGGACATCTTCTTAAATGTTCTCTTCTTATATACTTAGTAACATTTTCTATCTATGTTTTCACCCATCATATCACATTCTTCCTTTGTGCTAATTCTGAGTGCTTCAAATGCTTATGCTGATTTGCCTTATGACGTTGATGGATACCCATGGAGAAATGTTCCCAAGGAACTTCATATTGGAATTTCAAACCTGCGAGGTCAGTTTGCAGAAGATCTAAAAGCAGAGCTTAAATTCCAAACATGCCGATGCCTTTCCTTTGCTGGGCTCACAACAGAACTTTCATTCCAATCTAAGATGATTACTTCTGCACCACATTCCTTTTATTCTGGTTTTATTCCTTTGATGGGAAAAGAAAAATGAAGGAATTGATTTATGAAGGGAAAATCATGGGGGTCATATTTGGGATGTAGCCTCCATTTCTAATCCGGATCAGTGTTTCTCAGTCTCTGCAACTTTAAGATGTGTGGACTTCAACTCCCAGGATTCTCCCAATCAATATGCTGACTGGGGAATTCTGGGAGTTGAAGTCCATATATCTGGAGTTCAAACTATGGGTTCTCCTTCTGAGATCCTCGAAGTCAGTTGCGGCAGAAGGAAGAAGCAGGACAAATAAGCAAAATCAGAAATTGGGAAGAGGAGTTTTTACATATTTAAAGGAGGAGGAGGAGAGGGAGGAGGAGGAGGAGGAGGAGGAGGAGGAGGAGGAGGAGGAGGAGGAGGAGGAGATAAGGGTAATTCCTACTCATAGCTGTCATATCATGAAGCTACCTTAGGGTCTTTCTTCCTGATAGGCTACAATAGTCACCAAAATTGTGGAAACCTTTTAGGAAAAGTGTATTTTCTAAAACTAGCTAATAACACCATTTTTTTTTTTGAGTAGTACCATAAAATTATATATCAATGGAAAGATGATCAAGAATGTAATGCAATAACTTTTATGAAGGATTTGCTATTAGAATAACAGTTACAGTATAAAGAAGAAAAGTGAAACACGTAGAAAAAATGAGATATACAAAAATTATCATCATAGAAAAAATGAGATATACAAAAATTATCACCATGTCAGTTAATACTTATTTGGGTAACCTTTAACATGAATGATGGCCTTACAACGTCTTCCCATGGAATAAACCAAGTCTTTTAGTTCTGCAGCTGTTCTAATGTGAAACCAAGATTGAAGGATTGCTTCTATGAACTGGGTTTTATTGCTGGGTCGCTTCTGACTAACAAGTTTCTTTAGTCGGTCGGCTACATTGATTTTCAATTGGGTTAAAGTCTGGGCTATTCCCAGGCCATTCCAGCAGTGGAATAGGATTACCTTGAAACTCCAAAAAAAAAAAAAAAAGTGGCGTTATTACCATCAAACCTCAAAAATACACTTTTCCCCAAAGGTTTCCACAATTTTGGCCACTTCTGTATATTTTTTTATGCGTTAGAGAATAATGTCAACATCAACAATAGAAGAGCATTTAAACACCTCCTTCTTGGAATGTGCTGCTTGGAATGACACAAGCTGGTCATCCATCTAATTATTCTGCAGCTCAAAGTCGTACTGGCGTGTCTAACCCACAAGTGTCTGTGTGAAATACTTTGCTGTCGAAAACCCTCTGAATTTCTTCCTAGGATGTTGTAATTTGCAGATCTGTCAGGCATCTATTCTTGATATGTCAAGCATTCATCATTAATGTATGTTGCCATGACTGTACTAAGAATGAGACAAACTCTCCCACGCAGGCAAATATTTAACTAAGTATGTGGCTACTTACTATATGAACAGGCCATCGGTGACAGGGTATATGCAAGACAGAAAGCAAAATAATAAACTTCTATAAACCCTCCTTGAAGCTTTGTGCTAATCCTTTGCAGAATTTGAAAATGTGCTGTACTGATACCAGGACAAAAATGTACTTGAAGCTAATGTTAAGAAGGTAATGTAGAAATAAATAGTAGGAGCATCTTTCTTTATTTAGTCAATTATGATGGCCACTTATCTCCAACAAGTGTCTCTGGGTGGTGAACAATTAAAAAAAAAAATTAAAACAGTTAATTAAAAAAAAAAAGAAAGACATTGAATACAAATAGCAGCCAAGAGATATTATAATCCGCCAATGTCAACCTAACTAGGAATCAGGCAAGGGTGGGCTTCAAAAATTTTAACAAGGGGTTCTTGTTAAAATACGGAGGATCCCGGATCTGCGCACCTTCCGCTGCGCTGTGAAGACCTTTTTATTCCACCAGGCGGGCTTGGCCTAATTTTTTCCCTCTTTTTAATATGTAAATTTTAATCTGTTTTTAAATTATTGGGGTGTTTTAATTTGTCTGGGCCAAAATGGTTTAATCTGATTTTAT